AACATGATAAATAGGAAAATAAACATTCACATTCATATCTACAATAAGCATCATATTCATAAAGCATGCATTTTGGTTTTAGAAAATGGAGGGGACTAGTAGACAGTTGAAGAAAGTGGACATTCCTCGGTACCATACTGAGAAATTGGAACGGCTTTGCGCAATAATGCCACCAGAGGTCCGCTCCGACTTTGAAAAATCCTATGGACGGATTCTCGACCTGCTGAAGATCTGTGTCGATCAAGTTTTCATCAGGGTACTAGTTCACTTCTTGAACTCTAGTCTGCGCTGCTTCGAATTTCCACAGTTCAATATGGTGCCCACCTTGGAGGAGTACGAGATTATGCTAAAATGGCCCAAATCAGTTGGGGTCCATATCCGCCACGGGACATATACTCTTGTAGCACAAGTTGCTGCCATCATCCGACTACCATTCCGGCAGACTACCCTAATAGAAAAAGGGAACATCCAGGGTTAGAAAGTCTTAATGTTAGAAGACCATGTGTCCGACTTGACTGAAATGGCAGAATGGGTCGCTTTTAACAAAACCCTGGCCTTAATCATATTTGGAACAATTTTGTTTCCCTTCCACATCGACACAGTGGATCAAGCCGTCATTGACGCCTTCTTCGCCTGGGACGTAAACTCGAAGAGTCCCTTGCCTGCAATTCTTGCCGACACCTTGCTCTCGGTGGAATTTTGCCGCCAGAAGCAAGGAAAACACTTCGTTGTTGCTCTTCACTACTCTTTATGTGGGGCATCACACATTTTTACGCCTCTAGTCACATGAGGATGTTCCCCGACCCTTTAAGGAGCTTCTCCAAAATCCCTCTCCAACGATGCTTAACCTCAGAGTGGAAGGACGAGTTGGAATAATGGGACGCCAACCATTTATCCTGGGTCTGCCCTTGGTTCTGACCCGGTCTAGTCCTCATCAGATGTGGAGATTATCCAAACGTACCCTTGATAGGATTCAGGGGTTGCATAGCCTATTCACCTAGAGTAGCTATGAGACAACTCATGAGGACTCAAACTACAATATCCCGAGGGGAACTCAGAGGACTGTGTTTCTTCGGAGACCCATGAACAATCGCTAACTCACTAGCCGTGAGAAGAGCATGGGAGAGACCAGTCTTCATGGGAGATGGAGAGCTAGGAAAAGTTCGGTGGCTGTCTCCAGTGACTATGAGGTGTGGAGAAAAAGAAGAGGGATGTCTCAACCATCCACCTCACTCATTACAAGTGCCAATAGTGAAGAGCTGCAAGCTCAAGTCGATGCCTTGACCCAGAGGATAGAAATCATGGGAGCCCAGATGAGGGCCCTTGAGGAAAAAGAACAAGAATCTATCCTCACCATAGATGGTCTGCAAAGGCAATGCAAGAAAAAGGATCATGAAATAGAGCGCCTTAAGGATCAGTGTGCTAATTCTAATGAGCAAGCTATCTGAGCATCCAAAGCTGCCAGAACCAGCTCGGATAGCCAACTTCAAGAAATAACTGCCAAATCAGCACGCCTTGAGGCCGAATCAGCAAAACAGGCTCAAACGATCAAGGACTTGTTGCAAGACCTCACCAGGACTCGGTCAGAAATACGCCAAGAGCGAGAGGCCAATCAGAAACTCAACAAAAGTCTCGCTGAGCTACGCTGTAAAGAAAGAGACAGGCTAGCTCAGTACGGCCAAGTACTACAAGAAAAGGACCGAGCCCTTGCAAAACTCGATGAACTACAAGCCTTGGTTGTCCATCAAGAGGCGAAGATCAAAGAGGCTCAAAAGTACAGTGAAGATATGAGCCAGGCGGTCCAGAAGCAAAGCGAAACACTTGCTCGTCACGTCCGGGAAGCTGAAAGAGAATTACATAGAGATCAAGACCTGCCTGTGGGTTTCTTTAGGCTTTTCCATTTCTGTCAAAAGTTGCTTCGTAGTATGGAATAGGGGAATGTACACCTTCTACGAATAAATAAAATTCTTCTTTATTCAACAATTGTCTACTTGTATGCATATCATTCATTTGCATATTTAATTTTCCCTCCTTCACTCTTAATAAATAAGATAATAAAAAAGAAGGATTAACTGACATGTCTTCCAAATCAGAAGAATGGAGAGAAAGCCACTCCTAATCAAGTTTTCCCCAACGGTTGACCCGCCACAAGAGGACAATAAGCCTCGACCGTTGGTCCTCAAAAATAAGGAAGAGGGGGCAAGGACACCAGTGCGACTATTTATGCCACGTCATTTCCCCTACGAATCAAATAAAGTTGTACCATGGATATATGGAGAATCCTCACCAATAAAGGAGGACATCTCGAATATAGCCGACATTGGGGGCATGACTAGAAGTGGAAGAGTCTACTCCCCCAAGGACTTACAAGAAGACGTCCCCAAGAATAAAAGAAAAAATAAAAAGACTGAAGAAAAAGAAAATAAAGAATCCAAGGAGGAGACAGAGGAATTACTCCAGTTTATAAGGCAAAGCGAGTATTCCATTATTGACCAGCTCAATCATACACCTGTAAAGATAACCCTATTATCTCTTATGATGAGCTTGGAACCGCACATAAATGCCCTGATGAAGGTCTTGAGCGAAGCGCATGTACCTCACACCATATCCCAAGAAAAGGTTGAGAGGATCGTTGGTCATATCACGATAAGCGATCACCTCACCTTCACAGAGGAAGAACTCCCCCTCGAGGGATCAAACCACAACAAGCCCTTGCACATTTTCATCAAGTGCAAGAAGTACCTCATCGCCAAAGTTCTTGTGGATAACGGGTCATCCTTGAACGTGATGCTCAAGAGCACGCTCGACAAGTTGACTATCCAAGGAACCCGTCTGTGCCCAAGCAGCACTATCGTTCGAGCCTTTGACGGATCAAAACGAGAAGTAGTGGGAGAAGTTAATTTGCTAATCCAAGTTGGACTCACTATCTTCAACGTCGATTTCCATGTAATGGACATTACTCCGACATACAGTTGTCTCCTCGCCAGGCCTTGGATTCATGACGCTAAGGCAGTACCTTCGACGCTCCACCAAAAAGTCAAGTTCATAGTGGATGACAAATTGGTCACGGTCCAAGTAGAAGATGATATCCTGATCAGTGGACCGTCCACCCAACCTTATGTGGATGCGGCTGAAGAGGCCCTTGAAACATCTTTTCAAGCGCTCGAAATTGCCAACGTAGAAAGACTTCCCAAAAACACAAAGGTAGCCCGCATGTTGATGAAGCACGGTTACCATCTTGGCCAAGGACTGGGGGAAGATTCCCAAGGTATGAGGGAACTCCCAGAATTCAAAGATAATCCTTTCAAGTGTGGCCTAGGATATGACCCTACTAAGGGCCAAGCAGAAGGAAGAAAAGGGAAGTCTCCCGTCTGCACACTCAAGCAATTATTCCGAAGCGGAGGGATGCAAGCGTCCAGAGCTACCCTAGTCATTAGGAGATTTTTTTCTTCACTTAAGGGATGTAAACCCTGTGATTGTTAGAGATTATCCCCCGGGACTAGCCCGACCCCCAGGCATTTTAGGGCACATATTCCCTTATTAATTAATAAAGAATATACTTCTTACTATCTGCTTCTCTTCTTGTTACTTCATGACTAGACCTCACTATAACCTTATCTAAGTAAACGAAAAAAGGAAGAAGAATAAAAAGCGCATCCAAATAATCAAAATTTGCCTTTGCCATTGCCATTACAGTCAAGCTAGTTGATTAGAAGCACAGAATAAGACTTTACCTCACCATAAAGAAAGTCATGTTTCGCCAATATTGTGAAAAAGAAAATAAATACAAAAAAAAGCCCATAGAAGTCGAAGGCCAAAAAAGAAAAAGGGCAAAATACCCAGTAGGAAACCCACTAAGGGGGCTACACAAAAGATAAGGTCAACCCGGTAGGATACCTGAACAAAAATAAAGGGTAGCCTAAGCAGAAATTAGGGTTACAAAATAAGGTCTGCTAGGATTCCCAAAACAAAAACAAAAAGAAGGAACCTAGACAAAAGATAGGGCCAAAACACAATATCCTAGTTCGAAAACCCAAAGGGCGATCTAGGGAGATCAACTAGCCATCAAAAACAATGGAAATAAGCCAAGGCGCAAATACAAAAAGGGAACGTTTGCTTAGACAAAAAGCTTAAACACCTAGGCCTAACCTTAGCCAACCATTCTTACAAAAACCTTTTTCTAAATAAAATGGACCGTCTAAAACACAAGCCATTGAATTTTCCCTTTTACTTCTTTCCTCTTGACCCTCACGACATTATTCTAATAATTAATTTGGGAATATGGAGGCATATAGTCAACAAGAGGATTGAAACCCCTAAAGTGAAGAAAAAGGGATACTATCATGGCAAAGTGTGCTCTACAAAAAAAAAAGAAAAAAAAAATTATTCTTCGGTCACAAGAAGTCCGGAATGGTACAACCAAATACAAGAACGCAGATCAGAGGATACTTGTCGCTACAAGACATGTCAGTTAACTCCTTCTGAAAAACTAAATGAAATAGGCATTATAGGACATCAAACATGAAAACATTGCATGCATAAAATGTTTTTGAACCAAGTCCTATTTTCTTCAAAAAAAAAAAAAACTTCTAAAAATCGAGACCGTCGTCCCATATGTCCATACCGCCGTCTTGATTTTCAGTAAAATGAGACCGCCGTCTCGACTTGACCAAAAATGAGACCGCCTTCTCGCTTGGCGAGACGACCGTCTCGCTTAAGGCTAAAGTCGAGACCACCGTCTTGAGGTTCCAGACGACCGTCCCGGATTGCGCAAAATCGAGACTGCCGTCTCGACATCCCAGATGGCGGTCCCGAATCTGAAAAAATTTATATAAATAGAGGGGCCTAGGGGGGGTCTCCACACCTCCTCTTGCACTCCCACCTTCCATTCTCTCACTCTCAAGCACCCTATTGTCAAAATACACCGTAGAGATCAGTCTAGGAAGAGAAGAGGCTCTGCTGGCCCTAGCAGCTCCTTAGCTCCCGCTCCACAGGACCCCATGCAGCTTTCACCACTGCACCAGGCTCGCTTAGAGCACATCCGGGGGTATACATGGCACCCCATGCTAAGGTTGGATTTCGGCATCCTCGCCAAATTCAGGTGGGAGGATGATGTCTGCGCCGACATCGACAGCATAGGGTGGCGCTTCCTCCTCCAGTCTCCACCTACCCACGTCTACCCTCAGGCGGTGTTGGATTTCCTCGCCTCCATCTCCTACACTGAGACCCCCTCCATGGTACTGGGTCTGTCACCGACAAAAATGGTGACGTACTTCATGGGTGGGATGTACCGGACCACCACCCTGGACGAGTTCAATGTGACCATTGGATTCGTCCAGCCCGAGGACGTGCTGACACGGGACTACCAGGACGCTATCTGCGCACGCCCCACCAACCTCACCACCGACGAGATGTAGGAAGAGCTCACCGGGGCGCACACTTTGCCCACACTACTGAAGGGCTCCGCACTTCCCCCCGCCCTCCATATCTGCCACAAACTGCTGGCTGGGACTGTCCACGGGCGGAAAGAAAGTCAGGGTAAAGTTACCCTTCCGGACCTCTTTGTCCTCTACTGCATGAGCCAGAGGCGCCGGTGCAACCCTGACTATTTCTTCCTGAAGGCCCTCAAGGACTTCGGGAGTCGGCTCGTGGGAGTCGTCCTCATGGCTCCCCTCATTACCCCCCTGGCAGAAAAATGGGGGTGCAGTGGCAGGGAGGAACTGGCCTCCAGCCTCCGACCCGAGACCATCAACGGGTCGGTCCTAGTCATCATGGGGATGCTACTGCGCCAAGGGACCTGGTTATCACTGGATATCACTTTGGATCTCCGGGATCTCGTAGCAATGCACGATCTCCCGACACCTCCCAAGTTCCAACAACAACAACAGTAGCAGTACACAGACGATTTTGCTGGCATCAACCGCAACATATACGATCTATGCCAGCAATTCGACCAGATGTCTATGAGATAAGAGAAAATGTCTCTAAGATAGGATGTCTTCGACACGAGATTGGAGACATTAAACCAATACCAAGAGGGAATAAGGAAGGACCTGGTGGCTTTCCAGTAGGAGTACCGTGACGAAGCCCAGGACCAAGCAGAATTCCGAAGACATCTGTACCGGCAATTCCCCTCTTATGGATCGTCTCCAAACTCGAGTCCTCCGTGTTAGGGATAGGGCTTAGAAAATAAAACTGTTGTAATAAACTTTTATCATAAATAAAATTTCATTTCATGCATTTTGCTCTCCCTTTCAAAAAGAGTCAGCGTAACAAAAAGAAACTAAGAATAAAAAGACGTAAGCTCAAAAAAGCCAAAATCTAAAATCGCGAGAAAAAAGAGAGAAAACCGCGAAAAAAGGCAGGATTAAAACAAGTTAATCACCCTGACCAACAAATTTCGACGACCAAGCAAGAGTCGAACAACAAAGAGAACAAGAATGCCCGACAACCAGCGAAGTCGGATGACCACCGCCAAAAGATCAAAATCAAAGAATCCCCAACAACTAACAAGCTGGTTGAACACCAAAAAGAATACCCGGCGCAGACCAGACGACCATTCTCAGAAAAGACAAAGCAGAGAACACATCTCAACGCTCGGTGCATGAGCCACCTGAGCAGTAAGCCGCCACCACCATCAGTCCTACGCAGTGGACTGTACCAGCCTGATAGGGGGTTCATACCTATCGACTTGTGCACGCGGTGTGCGTGATCTGCGCTCGAGCCAGATCAGTAAGTCGCAACTACCAGCCTGATGGGGGGTTTATACTCATCCAGTCTGACGCACAGCAGACTACAACTACCAGCCTGATGAGGGGTTCATACTCATCCAGTCCTACGCATAGTGGGCTGTAATTACCAGCCGGATGGAGGGTTTATACCCATCAACCGAAGGAATCAGCTACCGTCAGAAGGAGTATCCTGAGGTTCTACCATGTGCCAACCAAAGGGATCGGCTACCGTCAGAAGGAGTATCCTGGAGGTGCACAACACAACTCTTCCCCAGAAGATCAACCACCGCAAGACGGAGCATTCGAAGGGTAACCGGACAAGAAGGTCAACTCCTTTACCTTCAAGTCAATCTTCTTGGCACGACAGGCCAATAGTCGACTGGTCAGGTAAAGGGGGGGGGGCAGCTGTAGATCCCAAATTTTTCCCGGTCTCATAATAAGACCAGAAGACCTCCTATTCGAAGATGGATGAAACCTAAGAAGCCACTAGGAGAGACTATTAGGCCCCACACTAGGATAGGAAGGATTTTTTGTATTAAAATAAGGATTTTTGCCTTTTAGGGTCGAGACCGCCGTCTCACTTCTCGGGACCGTCGTCTCACCACTTCTGCAAGTTGAGACCGTCGTCTCGTTTGGTGAGACGGCCGTCTCACCATTTGCGAATGGCGAGACCCCCCTCCCGGTTGGCGAGAAGGCCTTCTCGTTTCTGGAAAAGTCGATACCACCGTCTCGCCAAACGAGATGGTGGTCTCACCACTTTTGCAAGGCGAGACGGCCGTCCCAAATGGCGAGACGGCCGTCTCGACCTTGTCAGACGAGACAGCTGTCTCGACCTGACAGGCGCGAATCCTTATAAATAGTCGCGCCTTCACCCTCATTTCACACAATTCTTCCACTTTCCCTCTTGCAACTTCTTCAAATTCTCTTCCTAGCACCCCTCCGAAACATTTCCGGAGTTTCTAAGAGTTTCTTAGAAATTTTATAGCGTTTCCGAGAGTTTTTCCAGCATTGTAAAGAGTGAAGGGCTGTCAAAACGTACCCTAATTATCAAGGAATTAATTAAAGAGCTCGTTTCGGATGTTTCTTCATTCTCCCTCTCTCTCTTACTGCTTTATTTCCATGATTAAATTGCATGATAGACATTAGGGCCATGTAGTCGTTATTTTAATTTCGTTAATAAAAGGGTAAAAACGTCTTTTCACAAAGTTTATTTATTAAGTAGATGGCCTATCATAGGGAACCCGAAAGGGGCGTCGTAAGGGAACTAACACTTCCCTTACACGTAACTAACTCCCTTACCTAAACTCTGGTTTTAATGACCAAAGTTGGTTTTTTGAAAACCAACGCCTTTTTACTCCTTTTTGGATGTTTCCGGTAAAAACATCAGTGGCGACTCCATAAGAACCCTTCAAAATTAGTTCTTGGGTTAGCCCGGTTATCGGACAATCCAAGAATGCCCTTTCGAAAACCTTGCCTCTAGGTTCAGCCCGATTATCGGACAACCTAAAGGCGTTGTAACCACACCCATAAAAATGCGAAAATTGGATAGTCAGAACCATCACGTCGCTCCGACCGCCTCGTTTTGACAGCGGCGACATAACTTAACAACAATTCTGATTAGTTCATAAGGAATCACTGAGAAAATTTACTCATTTCCGTAAAAAGTTATTTGAGTTCTATTATGTAGTTATAGGTCTTGAATGAGTCTTGTTCACTTCGTACACTATTATTGTTGTATAAATAGATTTTAGAAGGTCGGAAAATATAAGTTAAGTTTCATTTTCTAATTTTCAAGTTTTAGATTCTAAATTATTTGTAGTTTTTCTCTCTTTGTGATGCTTAACTTCCAAGTTTGTGTTTGGAGCTTCTTATATGAATGATGCTTTGAAGATTATTAATTCAAGTTGCTTTTGATTATATTTATTTTGTTTATTTTTACTTCTTCGCTTTAATTTTCATTTTCATCATATTCTTCTACTTTCACATTATTTTCTTTACTATTTTCTTGTTTTTTCTAGCTTTCCACTTCTAAATCATGTTCTAATTCGTTTTGGTTGTTGATTCATCGATTAAAACTTGTGTTCTATGGTTTAGATTTGGTACTTAATGATTCTAGCTGATTATAATCCATTATTTGATTGGATGTCTCATTTGCAACATAACTCAATTTCTAAATTGAATTGATTGTTTTATTTATGAATTGAATTGTGTTTACGAATTTAAATTGGATTATAATTGTTTGAAATTGTTTTGGATTTGCTTTTGTGATTGCAAGACAAATTCAATAAATCAATAATAATAATAAAAATAAGTTTATAATGAGAGAATCAACGTAATGTTTCTATTGAATTTCTTTACTATTCTTAATTTATTTCACTTCAATTGTCAATTTCAATTATGTTATTTACTTTCAACTTTTAGTTTAGATTGTTTCTTTAAGTTCTTTATAGATTTTTAGACGTATATTTAATCTAATTCTTTACTGCTTTTCATTTACAACTTTTCATAGAATAGTTTTACAAGCTTTCATTTACTTTTCAATGCATCTACGATTTCCTTGTATTGCTTTCTTTTATTGTTTAATAGTTTAGATTTAATGCTTTCATTTATATGTTTTTGTTTACTATTTTTAATAGATTAGTTTACTGCTTATTAGTTTATTGTTTTGCATATACTTTTCTTGCATTAAAATCCAAAAATTCCCCTAAATCCTAGTATTTTACATTTGAAAGTCAAGGTTTAAATAACATTGACTAATTCTCCTTGAGGACACGACCTAGGCTAGCCCTAGCACTGCATTATTTTCCTTGTATATTCTTTGATGAAATCTAGCCAACAAGATTTCGGTCATCAAAATGACGTTCTTGCTGGGAGAAATTGGTGATTATTTTGTTTTAAATCTCAATTTTCTTTTGTTAAAGGTTAGTGTACAAATTTTTTTTGTATTTGTATTTCAATAGTTTGTGTTATTTGAGTTAAAATTTTGAAAAACCTTAAAAATTTTACTATGTTTTGTTATTTCGCTCAACAATTTGTGTTTAGCTGAGCAAATTTCATGTTTTTGTTCAATTGTTTGAGCATTGTTAAAATTTTACTCAGTGGTTTTAAATTCGCTTAGCGGATTTCTGCAGTGTAGTTGTTTTTGAAACTATCCATTTTTTGCTTAGTGGTTGAGTTTTTTGCTAAGCATTTTGTTCAATTTTTAAATTTTTGTTGTGTTCATTACATTCACCTAGCGAGGATTTGTTTGCTCAATAGATTGTTTGCTTTTAGTTCAATTTGTCACTGGAACAATTTCTTTCTTAATTAGTCATGAGCCAAATTTAAGCCTACCTTATAATTATTAACCTTTGTGAGTCACTTTGAGCTTTATATTCCCATTTTTTTTTTGTTTAATTAAGCCACATTACAAGCCAAAGAAAGTGAAAATCCATATTTACCTCCTGAACTTTTAATTTTTGAGAACTTTTGGAATTTGATAATGAATGATTTTAAATAATTAAAAAGATATACAAAATGTATGTTAATCTGTTGCAAATTCGCTTAGTGCAAAACAAATTCTCTAAGTCATTTATCAATTCTAAATTATTGGAAAAATGAAAAATCTGATAATATTATTTTCCTTTAGTGCACACAAATCTGCTCATCGAGTGAAAAATAAAAAAAAGTGAGAGAAAAGAAAAAAAATAAAAAGAAAAAGTGAGAATAATATGTTAGAATCGCGCAGAGGAATGATCGCGTGGTCGGACAAAAACCAAGAGGGGGGGGTGAATTGGTTTCTTAATAAAAATTAGGTTTTCAAAATTTTTCCCAAATTTTACCGATTGAAAATTGTGTAAATGTAAATAGAGAAGAGAAGAGAATCTTACACAGGAGATTTATACTGGTTCGGATCAAAAGATCCTACGTCCAGTTGCTAATCACTCAAAGAGAGGATTAACGTTGTCACTATAATCACAATTGTTACAAAACAAATTACAATGAAAAGATAAAGATAAGAAAACACCTCTCTTGAAATCCACAAGAGATGA